CTAGAGGCAGGAGGCAGAACACTTTTGAAGAGCAGATGAGAGCTGATTAAGACCAGAACAAGGCAGTAGCAAATAGGATTAGCAGAAGGGACAATTGGGAGCTCCTTGGGAGACTCGGCTGGGACTCCCACCACTGCCCCCACGATTCTGCTTCAGCCACAAGTGTCCCATAAGCCACCTACCATTAACAACACCTTCCTTTACTCATCTGTACTTTTCCCAGTCTTTCTTCCAATATATAATCCTCTGGACTAATTTCGAAAAACTGGCTACCCTCTCATAATATCATTAAGTAGCACTGAGACAATAGTTATAGAGAACAAGACCCATCAGATTTAATGCAATGTATGAGAAGACCCTGAAAATGTCACAGGATACTAATGGTATTCATATTCAAGATTTTACATTATTGTTGTGATAATTTCAAAAATTAAAGGTCACACATATATATCATTAAAAATCCAATCAAAATCCTGCTTGATATAAGAAAAATGAGGCTATACAGGGTGTCCATATTCCACTTTGTGCTGTTGTGTGACACTGAGGGATATGACTTAATTTCCATCATGATGGTGCCATCACTAAGGAGAGTGGGCCAACTCATAACTTAATTTTCTTTATATTTGTACTCCCTTGTATTAAGTTGTTAAACTTTGAACCCATAGAGATAGAGAGCTGCCATCAAGTTGGCTCTGAAATGCAGTCCTACAGTATCTTCACAATGGCCAGCACGTTTGAGTCTATCAATCGAGTCTATTTTGTGCATCCATCTCACTGAGGGTCTCTCTCTCACCTCGCTCTTTCTCTACTTCACCAAACATCATGTTCTCCTACAATGATTGATCTTGTTCTGGGTACTAAACTATCATTTCTTTTAAGTTACTATGAAATACAGTATTTTTGGTGGTATATGGAAAACATAAGTCCTCTTACAATTATAAACACTAACAAGTCAAATTCTTCTACACCCATGTTTTCTAGTCAGAAAGAAAGAATATACCGAAATGGAGATAATGGGACTTTCTACCAGATTTAAGCTCTATGTAACTGTTAATTCAATTCCCAAAATACATTTTACCATATAGGATATAAACCTTGTTTTCTTCCTATCAGTTGTGTTTATCCATAGAAATTAAAGATGTTATGAACACAAATCCTGGCAGAACCTCATCTGTTTTGGCACTCACTGACCCCACATGATAATTACTGCTGCTATACATAGTAGGAGTTAAATTTGACTGGAATTTCTGCCCTCCAACCCTACTTTTTAAGAACCACACACTACTTCTTTTTTTTTTTTTTTTTTTTTAAGAATCTCTGTATTTGAGGCTGAGGGCCCTGCTGCCTCCACCAAAACCTTAAGAGGATTTATTGCTCGGTAGCTGAATTACTCTTAATCTGAAAGAAGTTGCATGATCACCACTGTCCCCATGGGTAAGAGAAGGTGAGATAAATCCTGAGGAATAGCCTTAAATAATTAAAATTATGCAAGGCTAAAGATGTCAGAGAGCCAGGGTTGAGGACATGGGGAGAGACTTAGAAAACTTAGGAAAGTACAGAAGGGAAAGATAAGTGAGCAGATTCAATGTGAAGCGTTTTGGTACACACAGACTAAAGCTGTGAACCTGATTTATAGCTATTGTCCTTTAACCTACTCCTTCCAAAGGAGCAGCATCCACTTTGCTGTCGTCGGTTGGAAACACCCAAATCCATATTTGTAAAACAGTGGGTATGTATACATCTGAAGCAGTAATTGAAAGAGGAAGGAAAGAAGGGAGGGAGGGAGGAAAGAAAGGAAGGTATCAGGCTCACATAACCCCTACACTGGTTCCCTAACAAAACTTTGTTTTTTCTCTTTCTATGTAGGTAATGGAAAGGTAGACATTAGTTTAGTTAAACCCAGATCATTACGAAGCTTGATGTTAGAGGAACCAATATTAATTATGTTTTATTGAATTTATAAAATGTCAAAGATCACATCTCATTGTAACTTATAAGACATAGTGATCTTTCAGCTCTCCCAGAACATGATGTGAAATGATGAATGCACATCCAAAGCTGATTAGGGAATATTGCCTTGTCGGCAGCCATTCCCTTGGCTTTCACCTCATTTTGCACTTTTTTCTCTCTCCAGAATACTTTGCTGCCCCTGTGCACAGCCTCAATGGAGACAATAATGATGCTGGCCTGAGGGCATAGATAAAAAGGATTTTCAGGAAAATTAATAGCCCTTGTTCTGACTTGGGTGATGTTTTTGCAGAATGATTGACAGAAAGATGCATTAAAATGTGAACTAAAATGTCAGATTCATACATTCCCACTATTAGTTTACACTGTTAATCAAGAGTCTGAAGGATAGTTTGGTCTAATGCTTTTTTTTTCCCCCTCCCATAGCTATAGAATTAGTGAAAATGGCTTGCAACTTGAAACAGTGGCCGTAGATAAAATTTTAAATAGGAGCCAATCTGGAATGATGAGGATAGCAGTTTGGCCTGGTTTACAGCTTATTTATGAAGTTTCTTCTTTAGTTGCAGACAATAGAACTGTTTTATTGTCACTACATTTTGGGGGTTAATTTGTTCACCACCATACTGAAGGATGTGAGAATGTTATGATTGACAGAACCAACTTCCAGAGAGGTTAATTGACTTCCCCATGGTCACATGGCTTATTCAAATCAAAAAACCAAACTCACTGCCGTCCAGTTGAACCTGACTCACAGTGACCCCTCCTGGGGTTTCTGAGGCGGTATCACTACAGAAGTAGATTGTGCAACCTTCCTTCCAAGGAGTGGCTGGAGGCTTTGAACTGCCAGCCTTCTGGTTAGCAGTCAAATGCCTTAGGCACTATGCTACCAGAGCTCCTTCCACATAGCTTATGAGTATTAGAATAATGGTTAGATTGCAGGTCTCCTGGAGTCTGGTGATGGGGAGTGGAATTGCCATTGCCTAGAGAACCAGGCATAAATATTGAGGCAGATAAATGAAAGGAAGACTTAGGTCTTGGTAAAATGAAAAAGAAGTCATGACTTTGAAATTATCAGAAGGGTGTAAGGGAGCAGGTAATATATTCTATGCATATGCTATACAGCACAGTAGAAGTACATGATACACACATCCATTTCCTATGAATTCAATCACACTTTTCAAAAGTACAATAGCACCTACAGTGAAATATATATTTTTTAATATCAGGTAGTCCAAAACATGTATCAACTCCTTCATCTGGTGCTCAGCTAAAGGAAAAATCAGCTGTGTTGGAAATTATAAGCTCTGATGGCATAGTGCCTAAGGCATTTGACTGCTAAACAGAAGTCTGGCAGTTCAAACCAACCAGCCACCCCCTGGAAGGAAGTTTGGGCAATCTACTTCCCTATAGATATTGCCTTGGAAACCCAAGGAAGGGTCGCTATGAGTCGCAATCAACTAAAGGACAATGAGGTGTTTTTAAAAAAAAAAAAAAAAAAAAATACAGTATATACAAAACTAGGAGCTCTGGTAGCATAGTGCCTAAGGCACCTGACTGCTAACCAGAAGGCTGGAGGTTCAAACCCACCAGCCACTCCTCAGAAAGAAGGTTGGGCAATCTACTTCCGTAGTGACCCCAAGGAGGGGTCGCTATGAGTCGGAGCCACTCAGCGGCACACAACAACACAACATATACAAAACTAGGCAAAATATCAAGGATATTTCTATTATTTTTGTCTTACACCCTGACCTTGGAATCATCTCCCAAGTAAGATGGAAGAAATTAGGTGTTGAAGTTTTTTTTGCTTTTGATTAAAATAAAATGAAGGATTATTATGTGTAAATAGATTAAGTTTAGTTCTTAATCAACAACAAATTTCCATCATTTTAAAATATTTCTGTCTGGGAATTGCTTGGTAGTAGGAAATCTAATGCAGGGACTTTTATATTTTTTCAAATGATGGACACTAAACCAGGTTAAGATTATTTGGCTACTGTATTTTTTTACTTGAGCTTATGAATAATATTTCTTCTGTTGCTTTTGATCAAAAATGAACGTGAATGTCATTATTGGATTTTTAAAATATGTCCTGGAAATATAGCATGCATACTGAAACATGTATATGGCATAGGTGGAATTTGATGAACTTTCAAAAACTGAACACTCCTATATAACCATCATGAAGAAACAAAATATGACCAGCACCCAAAATCTCCCCTCCCCATCATACCCCCTCCCATTCACTATGTACCCACAGGTAACCACTAACCTCACTTCTCATACCATTCTGTAGCTTAGGTCGTGTGTGTGTGTGTGTGTGTGTGTGTGTGCCAATTTTCATGTGTGCTTTAAGTAAATGAAGTCATTTTGACTGGACTCATTTGTGTCTGGCTGCTTTTACAACACTGTGTTGGTAAGATTCATCTACTTGGTTGCAAATAATTGTACATCACTCGTTCACACTGCTGTATACTTTTTGCATTGTGTGAAGATATCTTCACACTGTCAAACACATTTTAAAGTAGATATAGTAATTTATAACATCCCAGCAATGTATAAATGTTCAAATGTCTACACATCCTCCCTAAAACTTAGTATCTCTGATGTTTTTCAGTTTAGTCATTTTGATGGCCAGTCAATGATGTTTTTTCAATCATTGATATTTAAATTGACTAAATAAACATCTCTGTAAACTCACACCAAACAAAGATCTTTATTTAGGAATCAGGGTGTGCTGTGATGAGATGGGACAATGTCTCATAGATTGAAATGGCTCAATATCAACATCAGAAATATTTTTATTTAAAATACTGCCTCATTTTCAGAGAAAGCATTTCCTTTGGGAAATGAAGAGATAGGCATATAAGGTAGATGTTTACAGAACCTAAAAATCAATATTTTAAAATAATGTTTTTGGAGTTATGTGATAAAAGAGAATAGTAAGAATTTTATTAACTATACCACTAATGATTGAGATTTTCATAGAAAGAACAAGAGGCAGTGGCTGACTTGTGTTTTTATTGCTGTTGCAGGGTCTCCATTTTGGTGTCTGTTGGATATAGTTCCTATAAAGAATGAGAAAGGAGATGTGGTACTTTTTCTGGCTTCATTCAAAGATATAACAGATACAAAAGTGAAGATTACTCCAGAAGATAAAAAAGAAGGTTTGTACTGTTTTCTGAAAACATTGACAGATGGAGTAACATTTTGCAATTGTTTACTCAAAGACTCTAGGAGGAAAAAAGTGTCTTTTCATTAACAGCAACTGGTAAATATTCATAAATAGTAGCAGTCAGTATTTGGCGATGAGATGTGCCTATTCCAAAATCACAAAGACCCCAATGCAATTACATTCTTGACTTTGTTATAAAGACTCATTTGACAGGAAACAGAAGTCCGTATTTGTATGCAAATAGGACGATGATGGAAAAACGAATGATCAAGATGTAAGGATTCACACCACTTAGCTTTATAAAGGAAAAAAAAAATGAATTGATATCAAGTGAAGTTAAAACGATGTGGTTAAAAATGTATCTCTTGGTTTCATCTAAAGTGCTGAAGCTCAAAACCTAACTGTAAAAATTTCATTTTTGCACAAAATTAAGAACTCAAATGTAGTGGCTGTTAGAATGGAATAAGGAGTGCTGGTGGTGCTTTGCTTAAGTGCTTGGCTGCTAACTGAAAGTTGGCAGTTTGAACCCACCAGCCCCTTGGCAGGAGAAAGATGGGTCAGTCGGCTTCTGTAAAGATTACTTACAGCCTTGTGCCCTAGGGTCTGGAATTGAACGCATGCCTGTGGTTTCCAGCCAAACAAAATACAGGCATGTGAGTTAAACATTTACCTCAAGTAGATACATGCCTTGGAGAAAACAATCATGGGAGAAAGAAGGGCTGCTTATGCACAGGGAGACAGCTCATGGGGCAGGAGAGCATGGAGGGATGGACACTGGAAAGAGGTAACTATGGGGAGGAAGTGGGGGGGGCTGTTGCATTGTGGTAAACTGTGGTCAATGACATGAGACAAAGTATATGTGAACTGCTGTATGGAAAGTGAATTTGCTCTGTAAATCTTCACCCAAATCACAATTTTATATATATATAAAATAAAATAAAACAAGATTACTTACAGGCTTGGAACCCAAAGGGGCAGTTCTACTCTGTCCTATAGGGTTGCCTATTAGTTAGAATTGACTTGAAAAAAATGTGCTCAGTTTTTTAAAAAATGAAATGTTACAAACAAATGTATGTCCCGTAACTTTAGTATATGACAGTATACTAGTTTAAGACACAATCAAGCAAACCTTTTTATTATCTTCAAAGGATTCTTTCTAAGGCTTTGATTTGGTTACCTTATAGTGAATGCTTACAGCTCATTATGAAATTCCATGGCATATCATGTAAAGCAACAGTAATTAACATTGAAAAAAAATTCTAATCTTACTATTTTAACAACAGAAGTGGGATTACAAATTCTAGTGACCAGAGAAAAAGCAGTTGTCATTGTAGAATTTCTTATGCAGTAAATTCATTATTAGACTCCCTGTTTGGTGCAAATGGTTGACATGCTTAAGAGCTACCTGAAAGACTGTTGGTTCAAATCCACCCAAAGACACCTTAGAAGAGGTGGACTTAAACTTCCAACCTTTCAGTTAGCAGTCAAGTTTGTTAACTATTTGCCTCCAAATTCTTGATTAGCTCTGGCTACTTAATGTTTCAACAACTTTGTCCTTTTGGGAATGGAGTCTTTTACTCCAGCACTTTTTAAAAAGTTGTGTGACTGTTTGAATATACTGTGTCTTGAAATGACAATACAGATGAAGAACTATGATGGTTTGATGGTCCCTCCTGTGCCATTTATTAAAATGTTTGCAAATGCATGACTGTTTTCCTGTGTATTTGCATGACTAGTGTGGCATATTTTACATACTCAAGGAAAAGCAGTCTTACAATAAAAGTTACTTGAATATTAGAGCAAGTGTTTCACCTATTTAGTGACAGAAAATTGTGGAAATCAGTGTGTGTAATTTTTGCTTCACTTTTTACAATTTTCTTGAATATTATACTAATAAAGAAGGTAAGGATTATTTGAACACAATCACATATAATTATACATAATATATTATTATATACAACCACATATATATGTTGTTGTTGTAAGATGCCATCAGATTGTTTATGACTCATAGCAGCCCCATGTACAGCAGAATGAAATGCTGCTTGATCCTGTACCATCTTCACAATTGTTGCAATCCTTGAGCTTATCGTTGCAGCCACTGTGTCTATCCATTTCATTAAGGATCTTCCTCTATTTCACTGAGTCTCTACTGTACGAAGCATGACATTCTTCTTCAGGGACTGGTCCTTTCTGATAACATGACCAAAGTAAAAGAGACAAAGTCTCACTGTCCTCACTGACAAGGAACATTTTGGTTGTACTTCTTCCAAGGCAGATTTGTTCATTCTTCTGGCAGTCCACAGTATAGTCAATGTTTTTGCCCACACCACAATGCAAATGCATGAATTCTTCTTTGGCCTTATTTATTCATTATCCACATGCATATGAAGCTATTGAAAATACCATGCTTTGCATCAGGTAGACCTTAGTCTTCAAAGTGATACTTTTGCTCTTTAACATTTTAAGAAGTCATGCAGCAGATTTGGCCCAGTCCAATAGGTCCTCTTGTTTTTTGACTGCTGCTTCCATGAGTGTTGACTGTGGGTATAAGTGAGATGAAATTCTTGAGAACCTCAAACTTTTCTCCATTTATTATGATATTGCTTATTGGTCCAGTTGTGAAAATCTTTGATTTCTTTATGTTGAGGTATAATCCATACTGAAAGCTGTAGTCTTTGATCTTCATCAGTAAGTGCTTCAAGCCCTCCTCACTTTCAGCAGGAAAGGTGGTGTCATATGCATATCGCAGGTCGTTAATTAGTCTTCCTCCAATACTGATGCTGTGTTCCTCTTCATATAGTCCAGTTTCTCAGATTATTTGCTCAGCATACAAATTGAATAAGCATGGTGAAAGGATATAACCCTGAAACACACCCTTCCTGATTTTAAACCATGTAGTATCCCCTTGTTCTGTTTCAACAACTCTCTCTTTATCTGTTAAGTTTCCTCATGAGCACATTTAAATATTTTGGAATTCCCATTTTTTGCAATGTTATGCATAATTTTTTTATGATACACACAGTTAAATGCATTTATAAATAAACCACAGATAACCTTCTTTGTTTCCAGCCAAGATTTATTTGATTTCTGCAACAATATCCCTCATTCCACATCCTCTTCTGAATCTGACTTGAATTTCTGGCAATCTGATGTCAATGTACTACTGTCACAATTTTTGAATTATTTTCAGCAAAATTTTACTTGTGTGTGATATTAATGATAATGTTTGATAATTTCTGGATTCTGTTGGATTATCTGTCTTCAAAATGTCCTATCTGTCAATTCGTCATTTTGTGGAGGCTAACATATTGTTGTGATGCTGGAAGCTATGCTACCAGTATTTCAAATACCAGTAGGATCCCCCAAAGTGGAGAGGTTTCAGCAGAGCTTCTAGACTTAGGGAGACTAGGAAGAAAGATGTAGCAATCTACTTCTGAGAGAAAGGACCACTGAAAACCTTACCAATAGCATTGAAACATTGTTTGTTATAGTGCCAGAAGATAAGCCCTTCTGGTTGAAAGTCACCTTAAATACTACTGAGGAAGAGCTGCCTCCTCAAAGTAGAGCCAACTTTAATGATGTGGATGGAGTAAAATTTTCAGGATCTTCATTTGCTGATATGTCACAACTTAGAATGAAAAGAAACAGCTGCAAGCATCCATTAACAATTGGAACATGAGTGTACAAATTATGTATCTGGGGAAATCAAGTTATCAAAAATGAAATGGAATGCATAAAGATCAATAATCGAGGCATTAGTGAGCTGAAATGGGCTGGAATTGGTCATTTTGATAAGACAAGCATATGTTCTGCTGTGCCTGGAATGATCAATTGAAGAGGACTGGTGTCACATTCATTGTCAAAAAGAACATTTCAAGATCTATTCTGAAGTACAATGCTGTCAGTGGCAGCATAATATCCATACGCCTACAAGGAAGACCAGTTAATATGACTATTATTCAAATTTATGCACTAAATACTAAATCCAAAGACGAAGAAATTGAAGATTTCTACCAACTTCTGCAGTCTAAAATTGATCAAATGTGCAATCAAGATGAATTGAATACTACTGGTGATTGGTATGCAAAAGTTGGAAAAAAAGAACAGTTCGCATTGGTAGTTGGAAAATATGGCCTTGGTTAAAGGCTGCATGACAAAATTTTACAAGACTGACTCATTCATTACAAGTATCTTTTTATCAACAAAATCAATGGTGACTATACACTGGGATCTTGTCAGATGAAGTACGGAGGAATCATTTGACTATATCTGTGGAAAGGAATTATGGAATAGCTCAGTGTCACCAGTCAGAAGAAGGCTGGGGAGCAATTGTGGAACAGACCATCAATTGCTCATATGCAAGTGTGGTAGTTAAGGTTGTGTGTCAGCTTGGCTGGGCCTGGTTGAGCGGCTGAGCAGCTGGATGCAGTTATTCTCCGTGGTGAGACTGGCAATTAACTCCATCGTGGAATCTACTGGAGCAGGTGAGTAGCTGCTTTAGGGATGTGGGCTGCTTTCAGTACATAAGAAGCAGCTTTGAAGGTCTCCAGGTTTTTGGCATGCTTGAACTCTGCATGTAGGCAAGTTGTTGTTCAGCAGCCTGCCATGCCCTGCCAAACTTAGGACTTCTTCTGGATTTGAATTAGTGGCCTGCCGTGTTGTTTGGTAACATTGGGGCTGTGCCTTTTTACTTGTTGACCTTGGGTTTGTCAGCCTTAGGAGCCAGCAGCTGTCTGAGTGAAGAAAAGCCTCCAGGTTCAGTGGGCTGGGAGCAAGAGGCAGAGCTCAAGCCCAAGGTTGAGGAGCTTTCACCCAGCCCCTAGAGCCTGGCACTTTGAACTTGGACTTCTAGCCTCCAAAAACTTTAAGAGAATAAACTCCTGTTTGTTCAAGCCATTCCATTTGTGGTATATTCCTGTTAGAGTGGCACTAGGTAACCAAAACAGCAAGTTTAAGTTGAAGCTTAAGAATTAAAACAAATCTATGAGA